TATATATACACTCACACACACACACGTCAAACACATCACTGTGGTGCTGAGATGAAAATGATCTGTTAATCTGTACCTTTAACAGCACAGAAAAGGGTGCCAGGATGTTTTAAAATATCCAGCCTTATCAGCCAAAGTCAGTCTGATTTATTTTATTTTTTCTAATCCAGCTTGTATATTTAGGCAGAACCTGCAGATTTCCAATTTAACGGTATTAATCTCCTGGCCAGCAAAGTTGTGAATGCTATTACAACTTTTTTAACAAGAAAGAAAGCAAGCTATCAGGTTACGGGGGGATTTGGACTCTGATGCAGGCAAGAGGAACTCAGGTGAAAGTAAAAGACTTTTTTATTAAAGAAGTAATTCAAAAACCTGACGAGGCAGCAAGACTTTAAAAAATCCAAAGAGCTTTGAAAACACTGGGAGAGCCTGATATCTAGCAGGAGCTAGGACAGAGCAGCACTGATGTGATAGTGACAGAAGACTGAATAAAAAGGAATGAGCTGATGAGGAGATGAAAGGCAGCTGAGCTGATTGGGGAGTGACAACAGGCGAGGGTGGCTGATAGAATAACAGACAGGAAGCAGACGGAGGAAAATATGAAAATGAAAACACAGAGGAAAAACACCAGAGGGAGACACAGATCCTCACAGTACCCACCCTCTAAAGAAAGTCACCTGACGATAAAACCACAAACACGAGAGGGAGGAGGGGCTATAGACAACAGGATGGAGGGCAAGAGACAAAAACCACAGGGGACACAGACTCAAGAGGGAACGGAGAGGATGGAAAGAGTACAAGAAAAACAGATAGCAAAAGTTAAAAAAAACTGACAGGAGAACTTTGGGAGAAAAAACAAACAAAGCAAATAGTCTCTGTAGATGTCTCTGGCATGAGATGAGGGTTTGGGGGGATTAGGGGACTGATGAGTTTGTACATTAGGGACCGATGAGTCTGTAGACTTGGGGACCAATGAGACTTGGGGGCTGAAAGTGGACCAGACAAAGAAGATGGTAAGGATGGCCTTACTGCAAAATAGATCTGTGGTCTCAATGGTATTTTCCTGGTTAAATAGGATTAATTGGTGTCCCATTTTTAAAGTAGTCATAGCTGTGAATATTTTGCAACACATGCAGTAATACATCACTCAGGATTTAAGATGACACAATGCATGATGATATTTGTCAAAAACTCTGGCATGGAAGGTGGGTGATTTGCATTTCTTGAAGGAATACCGAGCCTTTAATCTCATGAATAATGTGTATGTTTGTACCTGTTTTTTTATTATTTTTAAGGACAGTTTCTGGTATAAAAACACCTAACTTTGGTGACTAAAAACAGTCCTAATATGGTGGAATGCCATTGACAGATTAAGGGTTAGATTTAGGAATAATGTATGATCTATGTGCTCAAGGTGATATGGTTTAAAGTAAGGGTCAGGTTTTGACTACAATGAAAATGAGWGCATGTCTGAAAAGTTTTGTGACTGATAACTGAATTTTTGATTCTTATATATTATAATTGGTGATCAGTTTCAGTAATTAACTTTTTTAGAATCAATAAGTCTCTATTTGTGACCCATCATATCGAAATGAGGATTAAGTCAAATTAGGTCAAAATGACCTCATTACATTTTCAGACTTTTGGCTTTAAAAGCTACATTTTGATACCTGGATCATCCTGATGTCGTAAGTAAATCCGTATATATGAATTAATTTGTCTTGTTGGTTACAATTAGGGGATACCAGCATCAAGTACTCGTACTCGTACTCGTAAAAGCCGGCCGATACTCTTAACCAATACCGCTTTTGTCTCCTCCTGTGCTGCGC